ACTAGTGCTGATTAATAAATATAATAACTGAGTATGCATACGTACATACACATACATACGTACATATGTGTTATTTTTTAAGTAGACAACATAATTCGAAACGGGTGACTTGTTTTCAAATTTTTACAATACTCGCACACAATATACCTATCGTCACCAAAATTCACAAAGGCCCTAACCAACACTTATTTCGAAACTGTGTTTTTCACAGAGGATATATTAAGATACACCTACAGTTAAAATTTTAAAGTTTTAGTTCCAAAAACAACGGAGATACATTCGATTTTTTAAAAACCCCTACCTGTTTTTGAAATGCCTTTTATAATGTTTTTTTGCTTCTCCTGTAAAATAAAGAAATTTTTGGTTAGGGCGTTTGTGTATTAAGATAACGATATGTAATTGCAAAGCAGAATTAGTTATTGAATAGGAAAATAGAATTTAAAATAAATTACAATGGTTGAAAAATAAATAGGCACGCGACAGTTTAACATAATTTTTCCTATTTGTATTTTGTTAATTTAATATTTATTATTTTTCATTAATTAATATTTTAAGCTTTGTGCACTAATTATAAAAAATCAGCAAAATTGCATCTAAATTTTAAACTTTTTAATCAGATTTTTTAGCATTTTTTTGAGTTCGCAGTTTTATATCCCATTAAATTTTAGTAGCATAAAGTGCAAGTTTCAAGTTCCTAAAAAATCGTGTTGATTTTTGATAAATTTTTGAAAAAAAATTGTCGAAAATACTTTGTATGCAAGAAAATGTGTTAAAAAAAATTGCCAAATATCAACGCGATTTTCTAGCAACTTAAAACTTACACTTCGTTCTACTAAAATTACATAGGCTATAAAACTGCGTACTCAAAATCCTAAAAGATCTGATTAAAAAGTTGAAAATTTAGAAGCAATTTTGCAGAAATTTTATAATTTTTACACAAGGTTTGAAATATGAATTTAAATAGGTAATGAGCTATACTTTTATAACAAAATAATAAATAAACAAAAGAAAAAAAGGAACATTGTGTTAAAATGTCGTGTCCCTATTTATTTTTCCGTCACTGTATATATAATATATGACTTTGTGGCAAAAATATTATTAAATATTTTACAAAGATAGCAGGTCTTATTTTCAGAAGTTTATTTCTAAAGAACTCAACGAAAAAGTTATCGTATAGGCTATGTTGAAGCCACTTTCGAAAACAAAAATCACTCGAGATAAAAGAACAGCACGAGTGCTGAAAATGACTTCGATTCCATTTCCACATCTGCGCCGCCTACTAGAACATTCGTACAAACGCCTAAAGAACACGCCAATGTACCAGCCGTGGAGCTTGAAAATTTAAAATTGGGCCGAAACCGGGTAACAAATGGGCCAAAATGCAGATGAAAGTGAAATATTGAAAGACCGTTTCCCCATTTTAGCTTTTTTGAAAAACCTGACCATTTCAGGAAATTAATTTGCTTAAAAGTCGTGGGTTGTGAATAGGCTAATGTTTCACCAATATGTACATATGTGTGAAAAGTGAGAGAAAATATATTTTCAATAACATTTCTGAAATGAAAGTCTTTCAAGAAAGGGTTTTCGGGTTTTAAAAAATATAAATACATTAAGTTCAGTTCATGAATAATTATGATGTGACCTAATGTTTTTCAAAGAAATGATACCTTGAACTTGAAAATTGGTTAAAATATGATTGAGGTTTTCAAGTCTATGAAAAATATATTAAAAATCTAGAGAAAACAATATTAATGTAATCATTTTGAGTCTTCTAAGTTGACTTTCATCTATCATCGAAAGTAATAAGTGTCAACGTGGTCCCAGCTAAATTTTTTGATTTAGATAAACAAAAAATAATTACAGCAACGACAAAGTACTTTTTCAGAGCGACAGAAATAGTGGAAAATGTTTCTTGTGGTTTCTCTTGAGAGCTGGATTCAACAGCTTCCAAAAATTTTTTGCTAAAAAGCCCTGCCCGAAAGCGTTCTCCATTTTGCCGATTGTATAGTTCAGACGTGCAGCAGCAAGTAGTATTTGCTAATAGTAAGTAGTAAACTTTCGAATTCGGTCAAAGTTTACTCCACACACGGTATCACTATCGGATAAACAAAGTTAATAAATACTATGAATACTGTGTAATGAATGAAAAAATACACACCCAAAAAATGGCCCCTTAAGTAATTGTTTTGTTTATAAAAACTCTAAGATGAATTGCCTGCAGGTGTACATATATTTACCCCATGAGACAAAAAAAAAGTATCAGGATTGTCCGGGCGTTTTAAAGTTTGCTTCGAAATGTTGGTGGGCTCGCATTAGTAGTAACACTAGCAAAAGTAGTCGCTTCAGCTCTGGCTCTACTGTTCGCTTTCCCAACAGTCTGGGTGGCTACGTTTTAGATAAATTCTTTCAGGAAGTCTTCCTTCGCAAGAGACCACCAGACATTGATTCCAGGGCGATTATCGGGCAGGAGAACAACAGATCTCTGCGAAAATGTAAGACGCGTTAGAAAGTCTCATCAGAGAAAGGTGGACATTATACTCCCCTATTCCAAATATTTCTAGGTAGATGGACCCAAAGTATGGTAAGGTAAATTACTACCTAACACAGTTGTTGACCGGTCGCAGATACTGCTACCTTCCAACGAAATACTAGACGATATCATCGAGTGGCGAACAGTATATAATGGTAGTAGGTTTAGTTTGATCAAAATCGCACACTGGGCTCGTCACTATAAACAAGTTCGAAAAATGTGAAATTTTTATAGAAAATTAGTTAGAATCTTTAAATAACCGAATGGCTTCGAAAAACTTTCCGTATATAGAACTCTTAAGGCGATTGAAAATAAAAATAATATTAACATAACATTGGCCTATGCATATATGTATGTGGTTCTTCTCTAAAGAAAATGTATTGCAGCTTTATCTTAATTAATTAAAAACATTAATTCACATTTTATGCTTACACTTATTCATTGCCTTTATATAAATCATATTACATACATTTTTTTTTTACTCTGTACACAGAGAATTTTATACCAGATATGTAATTAAAATTTTTGCTTAATTCTACTCATACACAAACACAGTTCTCCTCTTTTGATTTATGACGATTATTTATGAGAAATTTTTATATTATTTTTTAAAGTCGAATATTTTCTCCTTTCTATAAAATCATTTACAAATTGCATTTTTAAGTTATTTTTTAAAAGCGCTTATTTAAAAATTTGTGGGTGCTACTACAAACACATACTATTTTGAGGATCGGTCTTTTCTTTTTTGCTGGACTTTTTATTCTACATATTTATGTTTTGCAAACGTTCTTTCTTAATTTTTTATATCTCTAATTAATTACGTTAAGTATTTACAATGTTCATTCATAGTAATTTTTTATCGCAAAATCTTTTCAAATACCTAAATAAATAAATCTTAACTAGTTAATTTAAATTGTCAAATTTAAATGTGTGTCTATTGCAACTTTATGCCTTTGGGGTTTCAAATTTTTTTTTTCATTTAAGGTGGTTTTAATTTTCTTTGATTTCAGTTTTTTTGGTAAAATTTGTTTTAAAAATTTAAATTTTTTTTTATTTTTTTTTTTAAGATGGTGACAGCCTCATCTTGCGAACCTTGTTTAAATAAACCTTAATACTTTCAAACTTACCAAGATTATCTTTGTAGAGGCTACTGCATATACATACATATGAAGTTGCAGATAATGAAATTAGCCATAGAGAGATTTTGTGGTGCATAATTGCTGGCTGTGTATATCTTTTTGTTTTTGGTTTTGAACTATGTTTTCGGATTTCTTAATACAATAGCAATTTCTTAACATATTATTTTCTTCCGACTCATATACACACTTAATTTATACCCAACGCTTTTTATGTTAATTGTGATAGTTATACAAATATACATACATATAGTGCTTATAATAACTATATGACAGTCACACATTGACAAGATGCGACTATTTATTTTATAATTTTTTAATTTTAACTACTTTTTATAAAAGTATAGTTTATTTTTCAACAAAACCGTTAAAATTCAAGTTTCAGTGTTTGTACAAAACTAAACAAAAAAATCGAAAAAACTTTCGTAAAAATGTCGACCATTTTAATTAGATTTCTTAGAAAGATTTTGAGCACGTAGCTTTGTAGCCCATTAAATTTTAGTACAATAAAGTTGAGACTTACCGTTGATTTTTGGATATTTTTTTGTTAACGATGTCAGTCATTTTTTTCCATACGAAGTATGTTCGACGATTTTTTTATATGGAAAAAATTAGCAACACCTTGAGCAAAAAAAAAAATCATTGCCAAAAATTAAAGGAAAGTCCCAGCTACCCTAAACTTGCGCTTTATTAATATTATTATAAACAAATAATTTAAATAATAATAAAATAAATAGTGAAATCTTGTCAATGAGTGTCGCAAAGTTATGATAAGCACTACAAGATATAAAATATCTTTCAAACTCGAAACGACCAAAAGTTAAGTAGTTTTTTAAAGATATTTTAAAGACGCGAGTAATTTGACTAGGTTATGTTTGTTTAGGATAGATTAGGTGAGACGGCAAAAAGAACTAGTTTCAAGGTCCTTGCTGATCATGGTAAAATTCTTCTCATAACAATACTTCAGAAACCTATTTCACTGCTTCCAATTGAATAATAATGAGGAGTAGGTTTTTGGGTCTTTGCATGTCAAGTTTTCCACCCGATTCTCGTTAAGCTTGTAATATTTTCAAAGTGTTATCTGTATAGCCAGCTCATTAGCAATCACTAATAGTGAGTACGCAGATTCGGCTGAAGCTGAGGCCAGACAATGTTCATACAAAGAAAGAAAACAGATCCCTGTTACAAACTCTACATGGTTATCAGAAAAAATATTCGCTTCCTAATATACATACATATGCATATAGCTTGAGAAAATCCAGTCTACTCGGCAGCTGAGGATGGACAACTTGGACTCACACGAAAGTTTTTACTTGATACTAGAAACTAACAAATTTCCAGCCGGCTGGCTTTTGTTCAATATATTTCACTGCGGGTGAGGACGTTAGACCCAGTGTCGGAGGTTTTTTTCTTGGCTGAAAAACACTAGGCAGATTGCCACTGATTTCCGTGGAGTGTTCGCTTTTTTTGGGTGTTAATCGGATGCAGGAAAAGGAACTTTGTACACCTATTGGAGGAACAATTTTGAGTGCAAACTGTTTTCATAACAGATTTATATTGGTATTTATCACTTCAATATAAAAAATAATATAAAGTATAGATTTTGAAATCATGGCGCATGGCGAAAAATGTGCCTATGTTTTCCATTTTTCCATTTTAAAACTCTGACTTCTTTTATTTCGCGAATGAAATAACGAATATAATTCCTATGTATATTTTGGAACGTGGTCTGATATTTTTTAAGCAGAAAATAAACGGAAATTTCTGCTTTTTTCTATTTGTGATGATGATTCGTTGATCTTCGGTTTTCTAGAGACGGTTTTGTGTTTTTTTTTTAATTCTCGGTTCGAGGGACTATTATTTCGGTGCTTTTCAGGAATATTCAGCCCAAAATAAAACATGAAAAGTCCTGAATGAACCCTGAAAGGTCCAGGAAAACCCTGCAAATAAAAATAAAATCCCCAAAAAAATTTCAGAAAAAAAACTCGAAACACATCTGAATATCTATTTCCCAAATTTCTAAACCATTTTTTACGCATATTTTTATAAAATGTATATTTAGGGCGATAACTGATTTAAATCTATTCCTGTATCTACTCTTAAAAAAAAATTTAAAAAATTTAACTTTGAATCGCCGGTTAATCGATCTTCGATATAATCGTTTAAATAGCGGTGAATAATTTACAACATTTATGTGTTTTCGGGCGCTCAACATTCCTATAGCCTCCATTGGGTTTAAATATGCAATCATATCGCTCTTGTATGCGTTGGGTATAATATTTACATGCTCGATACACACCTCTTAACTTGTTTCTTATACTACTTTCCACTCTAATTTAATGCTTTCCACTTAAGCTAAAAAGTAAAAATTTGGAAAACCATTTGATTTGTTGATTTCGATTACTCGTTTACAATCACTCTGCCTTCCTGGCTGTCAGGCTGCCCGACTGTCCCGCCTTGGCTGTTTTTCCACGCTGCCTTCTGGCTTCCTACAATTACCGCCAACAAATGCACTACTTCCATTCCTGTTAAGCCATTTCGGCTCAATGCCTTACACCGCATACAGCCGGCTGTGGTGCCACCCATTTCGTATTCAATTTGGATTTTGAACCTCCACTTGCATTGGCACGTGCATCTGCATTTGCATCGGCATCGTAACAGGCATCGTCGACACCGGCGACATCAGAATGATATTCGTTTTGCCCTCCTTGTCGGTGGTAAATTGGCCATGAATTTGTAGCAATTCCGATTTCTCTGCGGCGCCTGCATCATTGCGAGTGATTACACAATACTGATTGCCATTGTAGGTGACGACCGGTACACCAGCCGCACCGTTGCCGCTATCGACAATGTTAGTGTTGCTTGTTGTTTGGCTGGCGATGGTGGCGTTTAAGTTGATATTGGTATTTGAAATGGTGTTGATATTGGCGTTGACGGTGCTGTTATTAGCAGAGGCGGTAATGTTGTTGACGTCGTTGACGTTGGCGGCAACATTTTGGTTATCTGCAGTAAAATTGATGCCGTTTAGTTGCGCTTGGACGTATGTAGCTGCCGTGGGGGAGTGTGCAAATAAATGGGAAATCTGGTGGAAATGAAGCGAATCATTGTTAGTGAAAGTGGTGACTAAACTGGAGTTGTAGCGGGCAAGGTGGAGAGGAGGTTGGAAGTTTGGTAAACATTCGAGTAGAAGAAGAAGAAGAAAAATATGTACATACAGGCATAGCTAATGTTATACAAAAATACATACATACATACATACATAGAAAGATAAGATAGTTATAATGAAAAGGCGCTGTAGGTGGTGGTGGTGGTGGTGGTGGTGGTTGGGAAGTTGGCAGGGGGAGGGCAAGTGTGACTTGTTACTGTCTGAGAAACAAGAGTTTCCGCTGTTGAGGGATCACTGGGGTGAAAACGATACATCGTACTACATACAAACACATAGAGAAAATATGTTTGGCTAATTTTAGTTACTTCATTTTGAGTGCGATTGCTGTTGCTATTGTTGTTGTTGTTGTTATTATTATTATTGCTACCGCCTATGTTATTGTTGTTTGTATTTGAAACAGCTGCTGTAGTGGAAAATAAATTTGATGACTGTGTGAGCTTCTTAAACTTTTTACTAATAATCGACTGCTGTTGTTGCTGCTGCTGCTGTTGCTGCTGCTGCTGTTGTTGTGTACTTATAATCATCTGGTTTTGTATGATGATTTTCTCTCTACGTGCCTCGGCCTGCATTGCATTTTCATTGGGCTCAGTTTGAAAGCTGTGCTGCTTTGTTGCATTGGCTGTTGTTGCTGTTGTTTTTATTTCCTCCATTGTTTCCTGTTCCTGTTGTCAATACTGCAAGCAAAATCATAGTTACATATGAGTAAAAACCAAAAAAAAAAGAGCATTCACTCAATGTTCTTCGTTTCGCAATAGCTTATGTATTTACGGCATAAATCAACCCACCTCTAGATGGCTTTTGGCATGCAATGTCCACTCGTCCCGACTCGAGAACATACGGCCACATAGTTCACAAGTCCATGACAACTGCTGTTGATGGTGATGCGGTATGATGATGCCTGGTATGGCTGTGGTTTGTGTACTATGCTGGCCGCTGGTCGTTTGCACTATAATATTCTGGGTGGCCACTTGTACGGCCTGTTGTTGCAGTTGCAATTCCAGATTTTGCTTATTGTCCTCCGGTTCGGGCTCTTTCTTTTTCACCATATTGTTGAGACGCTTGCCCAAGGGCGCTATATTCGTTGGCGTCACATGCTTGAATTTATTCATATGAATCACAAGTTTATCGCGTCGAGCGAATGCTTTATTGCACACCTGTAAGTGGGATGATTTGTTTGTTAATATTTTGCTCATTTTGTTTATGTGTATGTATAGGTGTTTCTTTATTTTATATACTTCACAAATATATGGTTTCTCGCCCGTATGAATGCGCATATGTATTGTCAGCTTATCCTTCCTGGCGAGGCCTTTGCCGCACACAGTGCATTCAAAAGCTTTGTTGTTAGGATCTGCAATTAGAATTTTAAGTGTTTATTTAAATTAAATCGTGGGAGTAACTAAATATTTATGTACATTAGAGTAAATCACTCTCCACACAAAAACAAATCGGTACTGTTTTTCCAACGGAAATAAAAAATTTATTGGGGCGTATTCTTGTTTTCGTACGAATCGAAAATCATGAAATTTTCCTATCTTTTTCTATACAAAGATTCATTATTCATTGTCACTCGAAAAAATCATAATTGTGTTTTTTTTTACTTTGCGAAGTTTCAAATAGAATGTTCATATTCGAAGCAATAGACTTTGGCATCAAATACAACATATCTGTGAAGTTTAAAGAGTGTATCACCAAACTAAAAAAATGGCTAAATGCAGAATATCGTTCGCAGCCACTGTGCAAATAGTTTCATTGTATAGTTTAGTGTTTTCTAAATCTGCACCCAAAAAAATTTTCTCACTCTGACACTTACTTTCAAAGAAAAATAACACTTTCCAAAACACTTCAAAATATTTTAATTCTTGATTAAAAAAAAAACTAATTGGAATTTTGGAACAAAATTTACACATTTGAATATCATTGAAAAATATTAATCTTGGTAAATTCGGGGCTCACTTGAGGAAGCCTTACCCTCCTACGAAAACGAAGGAATCTATTGTAATACATCTAGTTTGGCACCAAATGAAAAAAAAATTACATTGAGTAAAAAGATTACTATGCTTCGAGAAACTAAAATTCCATTTTTACAATTTTTATTGGCACACTCGAACTTCATACCAAAATTTTTATATATGTAAATGAAGAAATTAATACATACAGCTGCGGTCAAAATAGTACACACACAGTGGGAAAGAAATGAAGAAGAAGTAGGATTTCTTTTTGTTAAATATTTTTGTTGTTTTTATTTTAAGGAATTAAGACCGTTAACAACAAAATCATGGAAGAAGACTTAGGAAAATAATTCGTTATAACGCTATTAAAATTAAATTTCATACGAAGTTTTGCATATGGGCGGTCAAAAAAATAGTAGTATGATTTTCTTGAATAAAAAACATTTAAAAAATCTTTCTTTTCATCAAATTTAAAGCAGAAATAGTACTTAAATAGCCATAATAATAATTAGTATGTAGTAGCGTATCCTTTGTTCGATATAACCGCAACACATCGCCGATGCATCGAATTAACGAGATTTTCACATCGTTCCTTAGGTATCGATTTCCATGCCCGCTCTACTGTTTCCCAAAACTGATTATTATTTGTTGGATGAGCATCAGCAACTGCCTCCTTCACATCGCACCACAAATTCTCTATTGGGTTGAGGTCTGGAGACTGTGCAGGCCATTCCATGACCTTAACCCTATTTCGCTGAAACCACTGCTGCACCAACTTGCTTGTATGCTTCGGGTCGTTATCCTGTTGGAACACCCAAAGCAGTGGCATTTCTTCGCGAGCATATGATAGCATGATTTCCTCCATAATCCGAACATACACCGTACGATCCATGGTTTCCTTTATCCATTTATTATTATTGGTCCAACACCATAAAATGAAAAATATGCCCAAATCATAATACTTGATCCTCCATGTTTAATAGTTTTGGTTGTGTATTTCGGGTTGTACTCGGAGTTAGCAGGTCTTCTGACGTATTGGCGAGATCCTCTTGCACCACACAGCATGATTTTGGATTCATCTGTCCAAAAAATATTTCTCCATTTCTCGGTGGGCCAATCGAAGTGCTCATTTGCAAACTTTAGCCTTTGTGCCACATGCCTTTTAGTTAGTAATGGCACTTTTCTCGGGCTATGAGCTGCCAAGTTATGTTCTCGCAAATGTCTACGAATAGTTTGCACGCTTGCCTCCAGCTCTAGCTCATTTTTAATTTTAGTAGCAGGTGCGAAAGGATTATTTTTTGAAAACCTAACCACACGTTTAATTAATTTAGCAGTCATTGCGGGACGCCGTCCACGTGTTTCGGGTTGGGATTTGTATTTTAATGCGTTACAAATCATTGTCGGTGAACAGCCCACAATATCTTCAACTTCTTTGTAAGTTTTCCCTTTCGAGATTAGTTTTTTGATAAGGTTGCGCTGTTTAGCGGTGCAGTGCTTGCCTCGTCCCATAGCTGAAAAATTTTCAATCAGATTGTCACAAAATTATATGGAAATACATCAAAAAATGCAGTACTTATCTTTTTGTAAATTTTTGACACAAATAAATATTTTATATGAATTTTTTGGCAGTTTATTCCTTACACTACTATTATTTTGACTGACTCATTAGCCAACACATTTGAAAATAAATGAAATTACGACACCAACTGCTAACGTATACAGTTATAACGGCACTTATTTTATTGAACTCTGTCTATACAACAGTATCTTAAGGCGAACACAGCATAAAGAAGACAACGAGAAATACAAATATTAAACTATGTGCGGTACTAGCACTACTATTATTTTGACCGCAACTGTATGTGTATTGGGAATACTGTGTAAAAATCTTCCACGCCAATATTTAATTACTTTTAAATTATATGACTTTTAAGTTAAAGCGTGCGAGTAAACTTGGTAGCTGACTGTATACGGTGCTACGGGGAGTATATATTACATACACAACTACGGGTACATGAACACGAGTTGTTATGTATACTTCTTTTTAGTATATGTTTTTTTTTTAAGTTTTCATTTAAATACAATTTCGCGAGGGAATCTTAATCTTTACGCAAAACGTTTAAGATAAGTGCGCCACCATTTTCGTCCAAAAAGACGTTTTTGTCAAAACAAAAATTTAACAACTCATGAGATTTTCTCATATGCGTATGAATACATGCATTCGATCTTTTCATTATAACTTATTTCTACGTGCTGGGTCCTAAAGCAAGCACGCAACACAGAGTCTTAGTTGCACCGTCAAAAATCTTTCTCTTTCTATGTAATACGGCCCATGGCTTCACACGGGTCGTTCACCGCTCACATAAGAGTCGGAATTGAGTAAAGTCTCTTAACCAAGACTGTGTATCTAGAAGAACGACCGCACTGTAGTGGTGAGGCGACTCCAACACCATGTCTCCAGGTTCATCCCCATTAGTGAACGCACTGCCACAATTCGAAACTAATCATAGTTTAACAACATAACCTTAGCACACCCCGGTTGTAAGAGAGGGTCGAAAAGACCACAGAGCGATTCTACGGACTCAGGCACCCGGGTGTACCCGGAGTAATGAACCCAGAACGTGACGTGTGTTCCATCCTGGAGAGGAGCCAACATCGACTCGCTTCACTACCGTATTGCAGCTAAGGTCTGAATGCTCCTCTGTGCGATAAAAAAAAATGTATATTAGGCAGCTCGACGAAAGTTTGACGTCGCTAAGCTGCACTCACAAAGGACAATCGTATTTCCTGCAGAAGAATTTCAATGCGCATTTCACGGAATTTATAATGGCAGTCGAATGGTCGGTTATTGTTGGTGTTGTCTTTATCTACAATGCTAACTTCAATAGCTTACTCTATAGCAGGGTTTCATTAGTTTCCTTAAGTTCCTTCAGAGTTAGGTTATGGTATGGAACCATTTTAATGGATAGTAGACGTACATTGCGGCGCCGCACAATGGGCCATGAGCGGAAAATAATATATTTGTTGTGGTCAGATTTACTAGTTACATATATTTTTACTCTTACTACACCCTTTGAGCATCAAATAAAATTTCAAGTCTGTTTACAGCGGTAGTGGGCAGCGATTTAAAGTGACAGAGCTTTGAAACGAATATCATTCTAACAAAAAAATTGTATTGTGATATAGCACTCGTTATTTTTATACTAAAAAAGGATTCATAACTAATTTATTGCAGCTGCAGTTATCTGCAAACTTTTTGTAGATACTCATTTTACTAATGAGCTTAATGACCATTTTTAATGCTTTTTCGAGGATATGCATTAAAATAACGCGATTACGCCAAATATTTATTGGTGACCTTTTTTATGGCATTTCAGAGCGTTTTTAAGCTTAAGTTTATATAGGAGGTATGCCGTAAAATAAACTGATCCCGCCCATTTTTCTTATTTTTCTTGATTTATAACCATAAGGAATACCAGCTCATGGGGATCTCCCACTGTGGGCCGTGCGATTCGGTGAAAATGTCAGCTGCGTGCCTCTAGTTAATCTTCCATAGACTGAACGCTTTAAACTGAAAAATCACAGATTCTTTCTATAGACCAGCATCCGTATGATAGCGGAATAGGCAGGAATATATATATTATTTTAATTTACCCGTTTCTTAAAAAAATACATGTTTAAAAGGAATAAACACATTTCGACCCTACTCACTTTTAGATGGATTTGTTTTACGCACTCCCGACGAGGCCTGCTGCACCTGTTGCAATGCCTTTAGTCGACTAGCCGGATGCATGGAACCACCCTCAACATACGGTTCGGTAAATGGTATTAAATTTGGTTTAGGTATATTATAGGTAACATTATCCGGCGACCAACTGCCTAAGCTCTGTAGTACGCGTACACCGCCCTCGAAGCCCATACCCACATCGTCGGGTACTGTGAAAGTGCTCTCAGCGCCACCCGAACTAGAGGAACTTATTTGTGGAACCTTAATCGTGCTGGCGTAATGTGCTTGCTGTTGCTGTTGTTGTTGCTGTTGCAATTGCTGCTGCTGCTGCTGCTGCTGCTGCTGCGACGAATTAGTGTTGTTATTATTATTATTGTTGGTTGTGGGTGAATTCTGTTGTTGTGAAGAATTTGTGGACGTTTGTTGTTGTTGCTGTTGTTGTTGTTGTTGCTGCTTAAATTGTATTGCTGCTTGCGCCATTTGCTGTTGTACAGCCATGTGCGCCTCAAGGTATGCATTTTTTTGGGCAACCGTCATTTTATCCATATTAACGGTACCGTCCTAAAAATAAATAAAGAAAAGGCGAATTGATGGAGAATGGAAAGTAAAGCAGGGAAGTAAGCAATTTTCGTAGCCTTAGTGCGCTTGAGTGTGTATTATGTAGGCAAATACATATCGTTAATTTAATATAGAGAGGCCCTATCTAACTTTTTTGTTTCTTTACGGAGTGATGAAAAAGCTCCATAGAAAATCAAGTCCTTTGGCTGCGATTTTCTTTAAAGGCTGTTTCTATTGAGGAGTGCAACTAATTTCATATTGTAAAAGTTATTTTCAAAATCCAATAGGTTTTTAGTAAGTAATCGGCAGACTTTTGTATAATACTTGATTTGGCAAGGAAATTAAACAGGGCCTGTGTGTAATAAGGCAACGATATGTATGTACATATAAAGTCATTTTTAGCGCCTAAAAGCATACGTTTTGCCGCGCTTTCAGCATTTATGATATATTCAGTAATTCTTGCTTAGTGTGCCGCTAAATTCAGTTTGTTTCATTTCGTGTGTTACACTTAAAATCAAGTTCAAATTCTCGCCTTGTTTCACGTTTTTCGCTACCTCTACCGTTTGCTCTCTTTCATACTCTCGCTCTCTCGCAGTTAACCTCTCTCTCCCACTCCTTCTCCCCCTCTCTCTCTCTCTCTTCCACTTACACTCACTTTCCGTTTCATTGTCAGTTATTCATGTCCGCGAAGGTAGTCATTTTACCCTTGGAATGTTTGGGGAAGTGAAACATATTTTGGGGCGCATTTTTTATTGTTGATTATTGTTTTTGGAACTTTAATTGTTGTTCATAAGGGGCGCAAATTATTTGGTACAATCTTGGCTACAACACCGTTATATTTATGTTCATATGAATGTTGATATTGGATAATTAAATGAGCTTTTCCTAGAGCATTTCAACTTTTGCACTTCGTCAAATATGTACCCACTGAATTTCGTGGAAATGCATAGAAGAGTAAATTTAATGGTGTGTGAGTGCATGTGCACTTGTGTGCTGTATGTGTGCGTAAAATTTTCTGTTAGTATTTTTATGCATATGCCGGTTGAGCTGTTCATTGCCGTCAGGATTTGTGTATAGGTATGAGGTGAAAGTTCTTCAGAAAAATTTTATGCAAAAGCGAGCAATGCTCCCCGAACAATGAAATAACCTTATGCGGTCCAACTAAGGACAAAATTACAAACATGCTCGTATATTTGTATATGTGGGCATTTGAGGTTATGCTTTAAGGATATATGTATGTACCTATGTATGTATGAGAGACTTGCAATTTATGTATGCACTGTTGTAAATACATATTTAGATACTTTATGGATTCGTAGAAAACTGTAAATTAAAAAAATCGCATAGTGTTTAGTTGTCTATTGTTTGCATTTAACTAAACACTTTTTTGTTAGACCTGTTTCTTTGAATTATCACACTACTTGTTTTCTTCACTTTCAATTGAATTTTTTAAGTTGAGCGAATTATTCGTATTTTTGGTATTTTTCGTTAAATTCATTCCACATTTGTTTTTTCCTTTTTTCGACGGGCTTTCTCACAGAAGAAGCGCCGCCATTTGTAGGTATAGATACTATTGGGGTGCCAGCCGGCAAGTATTTCCGTGGCGGCGCTTTGCCGCTACTACAGCTACGTAGCTGCTTCCTGATTTCAGCGCTCTACCCAGAACGCACATTTACATACACGTTTCTGTTCTTTTAACAAAATTTTAATTGTAAAAAAAATGTTAGGTATTTATGTACAAATGTATTTGCGCCCATTTTTACTATGCGTTGTTTTTTTTTGCTTTATACCATTTAAACTTTCAAGCGGGTGGCAAACACACTTTCCATTTGTCGCAAAAATTATCACTCTGTTACAAAAAAAAAATCGAAATAATCGATATTCACATTCATTGTCTTATTTCAGCCTTGCAGCCGTTCACAATAAGGATTTCTTCATGTTCACTACCGCATACAAGAACAAATAATTTTTTAAAATTATTATTTTTTTTTTTATATAATTGCAATTCTTCCTATTTATTAAATTATCTTTAACACTGCGTGTAGAAAAAGCACAATGCGCGTTGTGGGTAAGTACTACGTACTTATGAAATGAAAAAATTTCTCATCATCACCTTTTGTTTGTGTATGTATTGCGAAACTGATTTGCCACTCATGGTGTGCCAGTCTTCCTTTTTACTTTTGCGTACATTTGAATTCACATTTGAGTGATTTCGGATTCAAATGGAGCCGTTGTTGGACTAACTGCAGTTGGTGTATCGTATCGAAGTGAATCGAAGTGTCTGCCGCCCCCGCAGTGTTCGCTGTTGCTGTTGGAGGTTGTTGGCGCTAATGATGTCGGTGGGGTAATACCTTTCCACTATTACCACCGCATTCGGCAAGCGCCTTCATTTAGCAAAACCAAGGCATCACACAGACCACACAAATTGTGGACAAATGTTGTTGTATTAATTTAAATTTGCATTTTTTTCTTAGCGTACGCCAATGTGTATGCGCGCGTATTTAATATTTCTACTCGAATTCGCAAAATTTAGACTCGAAATCGGAATGGAAATGCCAATTTTATTTGCCAGCCGCAAATATACTTAAGTTAAGTTGCCGGTGTGCCTTTGCCATCGTCAGCGCTGCGACGCTTCCACGAAGAATGGCATGAAGAAATACATATGAAGCGTCTACTAAGCGTTCAAGCGCATTTGCGAGAGTGTATACAAAAAGTTTTCCTTGCGCAACTCATCAACGGCACCGGCCACTGCTCGCCGGCGAAACTCGTATCCTTGTTACGCTTCGTCTCCCTTCCACCAAAAAATTTTGGTCTTGGTCGCGCGACCAAAAAAAAACCCCTACACAATGTCAAAGTTAGTGTTCGTAGCGAAATTTCTGTGAGTATCCACTCATTGCAATGCCTTTCTCAACTTATTTCAACGTACATATTAGTGTTTGTAGTTATTGTATTTGGCTACAGACGCCGGCCGGTCGCTTGGGTGGTGGGTGGCATTTGGTTGTTGTTTGTTGCAGGTCGACATTCCAAGAGTCTCATGCAATGAAACATGAAAATGAAACAATACGAAAAGTACTTTTCACCGAAGAAGAAGCTACCGAAAGCTTGGAGTGCACAAATGAAGGCACAAAGGAACTAGGTAAGTCAGTGGTTCCCAACGTTAAATTCATGTGCACCCCAGTCAATTTACAAATCGTTTATTAGTTGACTGGTTTTCCAAAAGAGAATGGTTGGGTTAGATTAGGTTAGGTTTAGGTGGCTGCCCCTTGTTAAGGGGCAAACTTAGACCGTGGACGTTGGTCCTTTGCGATACCACTGGACTTGTCAGAAAGTTTGAACCCAAGTACCTTAGTAGCAATCCAGCAAAAGCTCTTCATCTAGGGGAAAATGCTGAGATGATTCCACCTTGTCGTCCTCCATACAGGGTCCGGTAAGATATTTAATCTCACTGCATGAACACCCATAGGACAATGACCTTTCAGTATACCCACAAGAATTGAGAAATCAGGCTCCGCGGGCCTAAGGATCCCTAGAGCGCCCGGTCCACCTCCGGACCTCGACGCAAGTAGTCAAGAGAACTTTCACCATCTCTCTTCTTGGCGACAATTCCTCAAGTGTTTCGCCTCTGGCCAGTTCGTCAACCGCACGGTTTCCGCGATATCACTATGTTCTGACGCCGACAGGATAATTATTTGTTTTTTTTTTTTTTGCAACGAAATCCCGTCATACTTTGTTAAGAACAAAAAATGGCATTGAAGGCGGCACAATGCCAAAACCGGTTTGTCTACAAACCAAACTTGCCAAGGACAGGCGGAATTTGTTCAAAAATTAATCACCGTACAAATCGTTTTCTGGAATAATCTGGATGTTCAATTAGATAATTAGATAAATTGCATAATTGTCTGCAACTCGAAGATTTGCCATCCAATTCATATAAAATATTGGCTCGGTATAATTACAATCCATCTCCAGGAAGTACTTTAATCGAGTGTTTGATATTTATCGCATTTGGTTCAATATTTGTGAGAAAGCTGTGGATTTCCTCACATGATCTTTTACTTGAAGCCACCACAATTATTTGTAACAGGTGCATCCGAAAAAAGGGCTGTTGAGCTGAGGAAGTCAAAATTGTGGAAGCAAACCAACTACGGGCAGCGATCTTGAACCGACTTAGATGTCGACACGGGTTACCTCACGTCATCCCGAGACTTTAGTTTTAAGATTCCCATACACTTTCCAACTCGAGATGATGAGGACAGTGGCCTCCACTAAATAAAGATTGATATTTCCATCTACACGGATAGCTCAAAGGTGGGAAAAGGGGCCGACTCGCATCTGCCTGCCTGATAACTGTGGCTCAGGCGAAGATCTTTGGCATAGAGAAGGCGGCTTGTCTCATACGGGATAGTAAGTCTCTACTAGGGAACGTCACTATATTCGTCGACAGCCCAGCGGTATTGAAACCATTAGGCTCGAGGTTATTAAATACGAAACAGCTCGGAAAGGTCGTGCAACGCTGGTCTCATTGGGTCACGTCAAAACCTCTCTTTGATGAGTTTCTGGAAATATCAGTATAGAAGGGAACGAAATAACCGATGAGATGGCTAGACACGG